CTCGGGCAGCTCGGGTGGCTCGGGCGGCTCGGGCGGCTCGGGCGGAGCCGTAGGTAGGGCGACGGGCAGCTGGGCGGCTCGGCGGCTCGGTTGCTCGGCTGCTGGGCGGAAGGTAGACGGCGAGGCCGAAGGTAGGCGGCGGGGCTGGAGATGGGTGGCGGGGTCGCTGATAGGTGGCGGGGCCGCAGGTATGTGGCGGGGCCAGAGGTAGGCGGTGAGGCCGAAAGTAGGCGGCGGGGCCGCAGGTAGGCGGCGAGGCCGAAGGTAGACGGCGAGGCCAAAGGTAGGCAGCGGGGCCGGAGATGGGTGGCGGGGCAGCTGATAGGTGGCGGGGCCGCAGGTATGCGGCGGGGCTAGAGGTAGGCGGTGAGGCCGAAAGTAGGCGGCGGGGCCGCAGTCATGCGGCGAGGCCGAAGGTAGGCGGCGGGGCCGCAGGTAGGCGGCGAGGCCGCAGGGCGGCGCGACACAGTGAGAAAGGGGGAGCACGACTCGGGCTAGGGCTGAGCGCGCTCCGGGTAGGAAAAAAAAGGTCGAATGTGTGGGCCCTAGGAACAGTTCCCACGAGGGAACCTGCTCGATACCATGAGAAAAGTGAAACGAGAATGATGTGCACTAAGGAATGGAAAGTGGTACAAATATGCAACCCTAGAAATGTGTACCCCATATAGGCTACCCCACTACAGCCTACAGAACATTATGATTTGACACCGAGGTGGCCGCTCGCCGCCTTCTTCCTCCTAGACCGCTCCCCCCCGTGAGTCACTTCCAGGTCCGTTTGCTTCATGGCCGCGGCGTTATCCCCTTCTCCTACGGCCTCCAAGTCTACACCTCCCTTCCGATCGCCGACCACGACATTCCCACTCCCCCCGTGAGCCGCCTCCACGCCAACCTCCTCTTTCTCCTTTTCGAGATCTGCTGAAATCGCACCCCTCCCCTCCCCTTCCTCTTTCTCAACGTCCGCCGACCTTTCACCCGTTTCCGCCGCTCCAACAGCTACAGACTCCACTTCCAGTTCTTCCTCCTGTTCTTCCACCTCCAACTCCACCTCTTCCTCCTGCTCCCCCTCTAGCTGCTTCTCCTGCTCCTGCTCCTTATGCTCCACCTCCTCCTGCTTCTCCTGCTCCTGCTCCTTATGCTCCACCTCCTCCTGCTTCTCCTACTCCTGCTCCTTATGCTCCACCTCCTCCTGCTTATCCTGCTCCTCTTCCTCCTCCTCCCCTTCCGACTCCGACTCCGACTCCAAACGACCCTCCTCATCACGATCCTCGTCCTGGTGCTTCTCCTTGGTACCAGTTACCCCCTTTCCAGCCTCCGCATCATCCTCGTCGACGCCGCCTCCCGGCTTTCCTATCGTGGTCCCACGCACATCAGCGACGGTGCGGGCGGCACCGACTGCTTGGAATGCCGAATCGACCTCCTCGCCGTCGTCGTCACAGGCGTCGGCAGCAACTCCGACCTGGCCCGCCCGTTTCCGCGCTACTAGCTTCTTGATCCAGGCCACCATATCAGTCCGCAACTTCTTCAACCCCGAAACGTTGACCTTGTCCATGCTGGTGACACTGCGACGAAGGCCGCCGACCAGGAGATCCATCCGCCTCACAGCGAAGAGCAGCGCGCTCATTGCTAGCAGACTGGAGCCAGCATCCCTGTCTCGGACGGCGTTGGCCACTTTCTGCAAACAACAGTGCAGAGAGCGAGGATGAGCACCGCGGTCGGCAGCATAGGATGGCAAATTCGTGCGGAACTCACATCTCGCAGGGGGCGATCACAATCGGCGAGCCTCTCCTGCACCTCTTCTTCGGACGGCTTCGCCCACTCCCATTTCCTACCATCGCGCCGCAGCTCGGCCAGAACCACCTCCCGGAAAAACCTGCATACGCATGGCACAGACGGTGGGTAAGAATGGGGCACGCTCCGCTGGGAGTTTGCATGCAACGACGACTACACTGTCGAGCTCACTTCAGCACGTGGATCGCCTCGTCGCGGTGCCATTCCGTCACTGTCTGCGGGTCGGCGTGCCTGATCGATGTCCTGATCTTCTGCCCCGATGCCTTCAACAAATCGCTGGGGTACAGAATGATCACGACGCTGCAATGTGATCCTGGGAGCGGTGCGATGCTGCACAGACAAGGCATGTCGACGTCGCTCAGAACAGGTCACCGACACAGGTTGCAGCACACACTAGGGCGACCCCGAACCAGCTCACCTCGAGAACAGTTGGATAACAGTTACGTCGGCGTCGAAAACAGTCGCAAAGCATGTGTGGTCGCCCTAACCCATCGCCGCCCGAAGCCGGCCGACTCCTATCGACCACAATCGCTTGTCGACCGACGTCGCGCGCATCCATGCGTGCCTGCACGTATGCATAGTACGAAGAAGTGAGCGACGAGGTGCACGGCACGACGGTGGATCACCCTCGCGGCGGTGTAATGAAGAGAGCCGAACGACTTTGGCACAACCCGGCGCCGACGCCGACCTAACACCGTACGTCGACGTCAACGACGTGGTCAACATGAACTCTAAACTCGTCGACCTAAACGACGGGTCGCATGGAACCCCTAAGCTCGACCAGCATGGAAGCCGGTGGAAGACGCCGACATCCACTTACTTGAGGCCGAGTCCCAAGCAGCGGGCGTTAAACTCTAGGCTATGGTTTGTGAGAACGGCATAGTCATGTTCCTCGAACTTGGCAGTGAGTCCTCTACCGATGTCAAGATACAGGGGGAAGTCCTGCGAGGTCGGCGCCGCTTCGGCGGCGTTCGGGTCGACCGACATGGCGGGAAAGCGAGGATGCTACATGCTAAGGGAAGAGACGGTGGGTGTATGGAAGGCGCAGAGCTGGGAAAAAAAACAAAAGAGAAACGAGAAGGCGAAAATGAGGGGCGAGACCACATCCCTCAAAGAAAAGCGAGGCGGAGCTTCGCAGGCCTGGTTGAGCATCGTCCCAAGGGGTCGTTGTGCCTGTTTCGGCAGGGCTCACGCACAAGTGCACTTTGCCGCCGAGCCAGCAGGTCGACGTCACGTCCCCAAGCCTCCGTCGGCAAGGGGGCGCAGATTCGCATGCGCGAATTCGGTGCGACGTTTCGACCGACACGTGTCGATTTCGCAGCGGGTTGCGAAAACATGGCGCCGCGATGCGTGCGAAGTCGAATGTCGCTCGAATTTCGGCGGAACATCCCATCTCGCATGCATTCGATGCGAATTCACGTGCGCACACGTGGCGCCACCGCAACGGGTCGCGAAAGTGTCGAGCTTCCCGAGGGGAGCACCCGAATCTCGCATGGCCCTCGCTTGCCCGTCTGGGCAGGTCGCGAGGGTCACCAGGGCTTCGCGGGCAGCGGGGACGGGAGGGCTGCCTTCGCGCGAGGGTAACTTTCCCTTTCGCGAGGGGGTCGCCACATCGCTGCCCCCACACGGTAACGTGGGGCGCTGTTCACTCTCGGGGAGGGGTTTCGGGGCGGCGGTCGTGCGCCCGGCCCAGCCCTAGCCCACGCTGGCGGGCGCGCATGCGCGTCAGTTGCCTGCCTCGTCACGCCCGGCTCCGACGACCCCCTCTGACGACCCAGGCAAATCAGCTCCGACGACCGAATTGCGCTGGGATGTTCAAGCGGGAGAGCCCTGCTAGCCTACCCGTGATACAATGTTGAAACGAGGTAAAATGACTAATAGCAGGCATGTAATGAATATACATTCATTACTATAGAGGCTGCTCCTAGTGAGGACAGCCCGAGCACTTCGCGTCAGGTTGGCTCGGCCTACACTTTCGCACCGAACCAATTCTGAGTCGCCCCGCACCAATCGCGACATTTCCGAGCCACGCACATCTAGAGGTTCTCGCCTAGCTAGTTTTCGCCCTATATTTACTCGTTTGCTTCATTGTTTCATTCTGTAATCACAGTCTCTTTATATAAGTCTTCCGCGCACTCTGTTCGGTAAAACTCATAACAAGGCCCTAACATGTGCAGCACAAACACAACCTAGCCGACCAAAGTGTATACCTACAGACTGGAGTGTACTTCAAAAATATTATGCGGAACCAGCTTTGGAGTACTCCTAGTTGGTGTTTGAAATCCGGAACCAGCTTTGGTCCAAGTTTCTACAATGTACGGTAACCGCGCGCCATGTTCAATGGCAGTGCGACAACTCCTGGGCGTTTCGGTATGGACGTTATGACATGCTAACTATAATCAATAACTACTACAATACAGGGTAGCGCAAACTCTCTCGTTGCCGCAACCCACAAATCACCTTTCCTCCAACATTACCTTCTCCTTGCTATTAGCAGAAGTAGACTCTAGAGCAAGTGCACTCCTCCCCTAACAACATCAGCATCCCCAGCTTCTATCTGGTGCTTTGGCTCCTCATGCACATACAAGTACTGCCTCTTGCTCCATAGCATGGCCCCGATAATCGCCAGTAGCGCCACAAGCATCACACTGCACACCACTGCTATGGCTATCGTGCCACCACTGCTGCTGCTACTGCTGCTGCCGCTTTCACTGGCAGGAGCGGCAGTGAAGGGCTGCAACCAGAGGGGACAAAGTGTACAGGGTGAGGAACAAGAAGGGACAGTGACAGGTTAGTGTCAGGAAAACCTAGGCACAGGTGGCTAATGCCTTAGCATAAAGGGGCGATGGGAGCAGCATAGGTGGGACCACGAAGTTAAGTCAGTGCTCGTGGGCAATACAGCCTATGAATCACTCCACATACCTCAGAAATCTCACAAACAAGTCCCACACAGTTCTCGTCCCTCCGTCACTTCTTCCTCCTCCCACTTCTTCCCCCTCCCACTTGTCCCACCTGCATGCAACCCACCTCATTTGATGCTGAGTGCTGCGCTGGTGCAGAAACACCTGCGCTACCAGCATTGCCATTGCTGTTGCTGCTACTGCTGCTGCTGCTGTTGTCAGGAGGAGCCCCCCCTTCTGCTGGGCTTCCGTTCGTCTCTCCAGCAGCAGCAGCAGCAGGGTCAGCTGGTCGTTGCAGTGGCGACTCCTGTGTCAGCTTGAGCCGTGGCTGCTGCTGCTCCACCCACTCCCCCACGGGCTGGCGAGGGTGAGGAGGAAGGGAGTGGGATGAGTGGGGAATAGAGGGGAAGAGGAGGCGACAGAGAGGGATTATTTAGCACGCACTGTGCATGAACAGCAAAAGCAGCAGCAGCAACAGCAGCAGCAGCATCGCCAGCAACAGCAACAGCAGGGACAGCGCCAGCAGCATGAGAGGCGTACCATCCATGGGAGCCCTGCAAACTGCATGAGCGAGTAGCGCGGCGACACCTGCACCTTGCTGCGCTCGCCCGAGTCGGAGTCAAAGTGCACGTGCCCCGTCGCCCCCGGGAAGGACACGCAGTCAGACGGCGAGTCGTTGAAGCAGGCGAGCAGGTGCGCGGCAGACAGGGACGCGCCTGGCAGGTGGACGCAGGGAAGGTGATGTAAAGAAGGGGCGAAGGAGGGGAATTGGCGTGAGAGGGAGAGGAGGGAAGTGCAGGGGGAGGGAGTGGGGGGCTATATGGGAAAGAATGGGTGGTTTGCTCATTGGAACTCACTTTGTGAAGAGATTACGTAGCACTGGCTTACTGTGTGTCAGTGTCACAGCAGATAGGTAATGTTGATTATTTTCAATCCCCCGTCCCCCATCCTCCATTCCCCATCCGCGTACCATGCTCCCCAACGGTCTTGTTGACAGCCTCGTGGAACGCCCACACGGCATCCACGAGGTGCGGGACGAAGGGCCGGGGGGCGGAGAAGTGCGGGGAGGCGTCGAAGGTGAGCAGGCCCGGGAACGCCGCGTACGACTGCTGCTGCCAGTACGCCTTGAACGGGGCAAATGGCTGCTCTCCCGAGGGGTCGGCGCCTGCAGGAGAGGAGGAGAGGGTGATGGTGGGTTGAAAAGGGGCTGACAGGAGACAGGAGCGGGAGAGAGGGGATAACCAATGTCAGTCGACAAGGTGCAGCAGGGGAGCAGCCGAGGGTGCAGCAGAGGGCGCATGAACCCACCTGAGGGCGCGAGAGCGAGCTCGTTGAGCATGTGGTTGGCTAGCATCTCCTCACCTGACTGCGGCGCTGCATCCACGAGGTCGCTTCTAAAAACTCCCAAAAGTGATTCCAGCAAAGCAGAGGGCACGTCAACCCACCTGAGGGCGCGAGCGCGAGCTCGTTCACCATGTGGTTGGCGAGCATCTCCTCCCCCGACTGCGGTGCTGCATCCATGAGGTCCAGGGCTGCCACGCCGTCCGTTCCCAGGTACCACCACGGGTACCCCAGGAGATTCTGGTGGGGTTGTCGGCGCAAGGACGAGGAGAGGAGAGGTGAGGAGACACGATATGGATCGTGGAGAAAACAGCCTGCAGAGGGGGGGGCGAAGTCGCAGAAGGTACAGCGAGTGCTCGCAGGAACCATAGCCACAAGAACGTGCAGAAGATTTTGAGAGGAAATGCTTCTTCAATTCGCTAAACCTCCCAGCGCAGTCGCATCGCAGGTCACAGTGTCTCTAGTACCAGCTCCCTGGCAGGCAGCACCCACCAGGGCACTACCAGCGTGCTGCCCGCACTGCTTGCACTGCCCGCACTGCTTGCACTGCCCGCACTGCTTGCACTGCCCGCACTGCTTGCACTGCCCGCACTGCTTGCACTGCCCGCACTGCTTGCACTGCCCGCACTGCTTGCACTGCCTGCACTGCTTGCACTGCCCGCACTGCTTGCACTGCCCGCACTGCTTGCACTGCCCGCACTGCTTGCACTGCCCGCACTGCTTGCACTGCCCGCGCTGCTTGCACTGCCCGCACTGCTTGCACTGCCCGCGCTGCTTGCACTGCCCGCACTGCTTGCACTGCCCGCACTGCTTGCACTGCCCGCACTGCTTGCACTGCCCGCACTGCTTGCACTGCCCGCACTGCTTGCACTGCCCGCACTGCTTGCACTGCCCGCACTGCTTGCACTGCCCGCACTGGCTGCTTCCAAACCGCCAGAACCCAAAGGTCGTACGAGACTTGTCAGGAACCATCATTTAGTGAGAGCCCTCGCGGAATGTGTAAGCACTTACAAGCTTGCTAGCGGCGGCCCAGAGGCAGGAGGCGGTGCTGGGTAGCACGGCCAGCACCACCCCCATGTCCTCCGACCCCTTCATCCAGTCGTCCGCCGCGGGGGGGAAGTACGCGGAGCAGTCCGCGGGGGGCGGGTGCGGGATGCGCACCGTGCGCACCTTCAGCTGGGGCTCCTGCGTCACCTGGGGGAATGGGGGAGGGGGCGGGGGGATGGGGAGGGAGGGTATGTGGAAAGGGGGTAAGGGGAAGGGTGAGGGAAAAGGGGAAGCGGATTGGGAGAGGGAGACGTATAATGCATAATGGACGCGTTTAATGCACACTCTTCTATCGGCCGCGTGGCACCAAGGAATACAGCGGTGAGGCAAGGCAGCAAGGCAGCAAGGCAGCAAGGCAGCAAGGCAGCAAGGCAGCAAGGCAGCAAGGCAGCACCGCGGCAGTGGGCGCACTCACATCGTAGGCAAGCGCCTCGCCGTACGTCTCGGCGGTATGGAACACGAGGAGGCGCTTCCACTGCAGCTGGTCCACCTGCGGCGGAAAAGGGGAGTGGGTCGACGGCGGAGGAATACAGCGGTGAGGAGTGGGTCGACGGCGGTATAGAGGGGTGAAAAAGGGAGAGAGGGAAGTGGAGGTGGGGTGTAGTAAGAGTGGGTGGGCAGGGATAGGTTGGAAAAAGAAGGGAGTGGGTTCAGGGGTTGGAGAGAGGGGGAGTATGGAGGATGGAAAGGAGGAGCGAGGGAGAAGAGGAAGGGGAAGGGTGACGGATGGAGGATGGCGGATGGAAGATGGCGGATGGAGGATGACGGAGTGATGACCACGACGACGACGAATGCTTACCACGCTGCGAATGGCTGCTGCCTGATGCCGATCGCCGAAGCTGCGGACGGCACGGGGGAAGGGGATGGGGGACGAGGTAGCGGAAGGGTAAGAGGGATGGGAAGGGGATGGGAAGGAGAAGGGGAAGGGTAAGGGGAAACGGAAAGAGTGCTTATCGCATCATCGAATACGCGAGTGCTTTTGTGCCCCCGGGGGGGCATGGAAGGGGGGGAGAAAAGTTACAGGGGATGATGCAGAGGCGGAGCATAATGGAGGAACGTGAAGTAGCAGTGACTCTTCTACTTCTGATAAGATATGGCAGCTTGAGCGAGACGAGGCCGACTTGTAAATCCCAGAACCTCAGTAGAGCACTCACGCGGTGCGGAAAAAAGTCGGATACGCGGTGCGGTTCCGCAGCGCGTCAGCCGTGGCGGCGAAGGACACCATCGGGATCCCCGCGCGGGCCAGCACGGGCGCCGCGCCCACAGCCGCCTCGCTGCACGCGGGCCCCACCACGCCCGCCACGCCCTGCTTCACCAGCGCGTCTGCGCCAACTGCGGCGCTGTCCGCGGTGCATTCGACGGCCTGGAAGACGGGCTTTATGGTGAAGCCCGTGTAGCGGGTAGAGAGCACGTCCAGCGCTACTTGCGCTGCCGATCCCCTGCGGTGGAGCGACGGAGGCATGGGTATAGAGAGATAAGGAGGTGGGCAGTGGGTGAGACGCGAGGCATTGGAAAGAGATGTTGAATCAGGATAGCGCGACAGGTGAGAGCCATGCGAAGAAGGTAATGTGGTAGAAGCGAAACGAATGGCGGCATGAGGAGTGATCAGCCGAGAGTGAACAAGACAACGTGTGGAGGAAAATGGCTCACACTGATCAACGAAAGAGCGTAGCGTAGCGTACCATTCGCGAGCGAGGTTGAGAGGGATATCAAGGTTGCGCTCTTGCACGGGCAGCAGAAAGCCTAGCTTCACAGCCACTGGTGCCGCCGCCGCCGGTGCCGGGGCGGTGCTAGCCTCCGGCGCTGATGCGCCTGGAGAGGGGGGTGGATTTGCCGCCACGCTGATGCCGCGGGGAAGACGTGCGAGGAGGAGCAGGAGGAGGAGGGGGAAGGGGAGAGTACTCGCTCGGCGACAGGCCATTTTTCGGCCGGGTAGTGGGAAATGCGAGGAAGGTTTGGGAGGTCTTGTTTTTGTCCGCACTCGCGGCGCCCCGTTCGCCGTTCTTGACGGAGAGCTGGTCCGTGCGCTGCGGTGATTCAAGCTCTATGGTGACCGTTGGAAAAAACGATAGCTAAAGCAGAGGATGTTGATCTTGTGACTGCCTTTGCGAACGTAGCCCCTCTAGAGAACACGTAGTGGGGAAGCACTCAAACACTTATTAGCAAATGAATCGTGGTTCGAATTCCACTGGATTTGCTATTCATATGGAACATGGTAGTGCAAACCATGTCCTGCTGGGACATGGCTTGTCTGTCTCTCTATGACGGCTTTGTCAGGCAATCAGAGCAGCAATGCCATCCTTGCTTCTGATTCGTGAAGCTGACTGCGTGTACGATTGATGCATCCAAACATGCGACTCGGAATTGATCACAAGTCGCGTTCGCGATGCGGGCAGTCGTGGTCAGTCAGGGCCGAAAATGTCGTTTCAGGTTGCCCCTAACCAGGGCTGCCGGAACCAATATTCGCCCCAACCCTGCAGCAACGACAGTACCTTATAGTATTCCTTATAGCTGCGAGAGAGCACGAAATACAGGCCTTCTTTGGGAACCAGAATGTCGGATCCATCGCCCCTTAGCAGTGAGAGTGGTAAGGAACCCCGACTCCTTGAAATTACTGGATACTTCTCGGGGAATCCCGGCTTCTAGGGTGCAATCACAGACCATTCGACCTCCCTCCAAACACTATCGCGCTGTCCCTGAACTTCGCTTCACACACACCCTTTCCCTCCACCCAAGCGCGGTTGCCACGAGCCAGTCTGTTTTCATTGGCCTGCCTGCCAGTTCACTCCCACTACCCAACCTTGCACACATGGTGGTATCAAAGGGTGGCGCCAGTGCTCTGTCGGGTACAGCATGCTTTTAAATTGTATAAACGTATTGTAAGGAAAATTCCTTTTCCTTACTTCGCATCCCTGCTCAACGCGTACATCACTGTAGCACCTCAGTCAGCACCGTTACCACTCGCGACCATCGCATCATTTCATCATCCCGCCCTTTTCGCACATCGCATCCCGACCTCACGGCTCGGCTGGTAACCCGCGCTCCGGGCCTACGCTTCGACACTTTCCCAACCTCAGTCCCAGGCTCGTCGCGCGACCATTACCGTTACCACTGTAGTTTCGCTATATATTCTTCGCTCATGCCTTCGCTCATTGTACTCTTGCTTCGATAGTGCAATTCTCGTTCGTTCACTCAATTGCACTCGTAACACTTGGTATCCAGAGCCTACGATCTCCTCTCGGACCGCATCCACACCTTCGCTTCCCACTATCTCAATTTTTGGGGGGGGTAGACGTCTCTCAGCGACACAGCACCGCCGCTCGCAGTGCTCTCTCGAAAGCACGCACGGCCACGACCGAGGCTCTCGCTGAGCTTGCCCGACACCCCCGCCATGGCCGATTTCAATCTCGCCACGTTGACGCAGGAGCAACTCGATCGTCTCGTGCGTCAATTGGAGGATTTGGCGCTCGAAATCGCGACTCTCACGGCGGAACGTGACTCCGCCCGTCAACAGTCAACGGCGAATGCACCGACGACATCCCACGCACCAACCAATGCATCTGCACATTCGGAGGAGCCAATTTTCATCTCATCCGGCACACCAACACAACACCACAGCACGGGACAGCGCTCAGGCGCAGCCAGTGACGGCGCAGCCCAACCGATGCCCGGCATGGGAGGGAACAGGAGCACGCTAAGCCCACGGGAGCCCCGAGAAGCCCGTCGGCACGTGGAGTTTGCGACGACAAATGGGGAAAACGCCATAATGGCCCCAATGCCACTCAAGCCGCAACGCCCGCCCTGCTTCGACCCAAGCCAACGCGGCGGCCCGACAGTTCAATCGTGGGTCTTCACGATGAATGTGTTTTTCGACGCCAACTACGTCGAGTCGGACGCCGCCAAGATCCGGTATGCGGTTTCATTACTCAGGGGCCCCGCCATGGACTGGTGGCGAGTCATTGTGACGTCGCCGCGCGCCTACGAGCCACCGTCGCACGAGGAAGGGCCCTCGGGTCCAGCTGTTACCTGGAGTTCGTTCTGCGAAACCGCCCAATACAGCACGTGGGATGCGTGGTGCGCAGGGCTTCGGGCGCGTTTTGAGCCGATCGCGGCCTCGATTTCGGCGCGTCAGAAGCTGCGCACTTGGCGCCAGCTCGGGTCAGTTCAAGACTACACCAGCGGTTTTCTCGCACTTTGCGAACAGGTCGGCTACATGCACGAGGCGGAGCGGGTGGACCGTTACGTCGGAGGGCTGAAGCCGGACATCTCGCACGAGATAATGCTACGCGAGCTCTCGAATTTCAACGAGATTCTCGCGCTCGCCGAGAAAATCGATATCCTACGCCGACCGAGACTGGGGTCCTATTACGGACATCGTCCTCGGGGACCGACCGAGCACGCCACTGTACATGCCGTCGCAGCGAATGCAGCTGCCGCGCCGTTTAGAGGGCGCTGCTTTGCTTGCAATCGGCCGGGCCATCGCAAGAGCGAATGTCCAAAGGAGCTGAGGCGCCGAGGAGCAGAGCAGGGGAGGGAGTCTCGGAGGCAAGGAAACGCCAGCAGTCAGTAGAAGTTGGGCCAACTACTGACGAGACTGCCTGCTCGCCCAACCACACCGACCCTCACCGAGTCACAGTACCGATTCACGCCATCGATCGGGCTCGGATGAATAAGGAGGGTACAGCGACGGATTGCCCGGTACTGATCTATGGGAAAATACAGGGAGCAGTGGTGAAGATCTTCATTGACGGAGGAGCAAGCCACAGCTTAGTTAATACCGCAACCGCACAAAAACTACAGTTAACGCTTAACCGATGTTCACCTGAGATGGATGCACGCTTAGTCGACGGCACGCCCCTGGCCATACGAGAGAAGGTGGAGCGCGTAAAAATCCGCTGCGGAGGGAACTTCGGGTTTACACAGGAAATGCTCGCGACGACACTGGATGGGCACGACATTTTATTAGGACGTGATTGGCTGCGACGGTACAACCCACGGATCGGCTGGACGACGGGGAGCTGCACAGTGCGAAGTAGTGGTAACTGGGTCGTTCTACCTCGCTGGCAGCCACCCAAATCTTCGACGGTCCAGGTCAACGCCATCACAATGAAACGGGCTGTCGCTGCTGGAGGTGACGTGTACGCAGTGGATATCGCGCTAGTAGAAAAAGAGGAGCAGCCGAGTGATTTAAAGAAACTGTTGGCAGCCGTACCGACCGAACTACAGGCACTACTGAAACGGTTCCCAAAGATATTTCCGGACGATTTACCACAAGGACTGCCACCTCAGCGGGCACACGACCATAGGATTGAGTTCGAACCGGGGGCACAGCCAACTATACAGCGGCAATTTCGACTGACACAGCCCGAGCTCGACGAGTTGAGGAAACAGTTAGATTACCTATTAGAAAAGCAGTTTATCCGACCGAGTTCGTCACCGTTCGCCGCACCGATACTGTTCACACCGAAAAAAGACGGAGGGTTCCGCATGTGCATCGACTACCGAGCGCTTAACAGGGTAAAAATCAAATCGCGATACCCCATTCCCCGCGCCGACGAATTAATCGACCAACTGCGAACAGCACGAGTCTTTTCGAAAATAGATTTACGGGGAGGTTACCATCAGATTCGGGTCGAACCATCGGACTGCGCCAAAACAGCATTTAGGACTAGGTACGGGTCATTCGAGTATACAGTAATGCCATTCGGGCTGACGAACGCGCATGCGACTTTTCAGATGACCATGAACGAGGCGTTTAGACCACTTTTAGATAAATGCGTGATAGTTTACCTCGACGATATCCTCGTTTACAGTCGGGATAAGCAACAACACTTAGCAGATCTTGAAGCAGTTTTTAAGGTTTTAGAGGAACATCGGCTACTCACCAAAGGCTCCAAGTGCGAGTTTTTTAGGGATAGGCTAGAGTTTTTAGGTCACGTTATTTCGGAGGCTGGGGTTGAGATTGACCCAAAGAAGCTGGATACTGTAAAAGCGTGGCGCCCCCCGCCAAACATCACGGAACTGCAGAGTTTTTTAGGGTATGTTAATTACGTTAGACGGTTCGTGCCCGACATGGCACGTTTAACAGCCCCACTCACTGATTTACTGCGTAAGGGGGTCGCTTTTACGTGGGGGGAGAAAGAGCATGCTGCCTTCTCTGCCCTGAAAAACGTTCTCTGTTCACCACCCGTTCTACGCATCGCTGATCCCCACCGCCCTTTCGAAGTGGTTACCGACGCAAGTGACATCGCCATCGGAGCTGTACTGTTACAGGACTTCGGCGACAGCCTCCAACCCATCACTTACGAATCACGCAAACTACATCCGCCTGAGCGAAATTACCCGATACACGACCGCGAAATGCTCGCGATCGTGCACGCGTTCAAAGTGTGGCGCTGCTACTTGACCGGCGCAGACGTGACAGTACGGACAGACCATCGATCTCTACAGTACCTTCGCGTACAGCCCCACCTCAACCCACGGCAAATTCGATGGCTCGATTTCCTCGAGTCGAATTTTCACTATACGGTCACATACAAAAAAGGAGCCTCGAATATCGCCGACGCACTGACTCGCCCCACTGCCCAGATCCACGCAATACTACTCGCCCAGACCAGCCCGCTACTGACAGGCCTATTTACCCACGGATATCAAACAGACCCATTCTTTACAGGAGGCAACTCACAGCAATTCGCAGCGGCAAAAGGAGTTTATTACGTAAAAGCTGGAACCGACCGCATCTGGGTACCAGGATACACGCTACTACGGGAACTACTGTTACAGGAAGCACACGACGGAGTTACCTTGGGACATTTCGGGGTAGAAAAAACACGGCAGCAGCTGCAGCGGTACTACTACTGGCCAGAAATGTTGACCGATGTGCAACGACACGTGGCATCGTGCCCCACTTGCCAGCTCATG